ATCAAATTATTTTCTGGGAAATTGGATCAAATTATTTTATGGAAATTGGAATAAGTTGTTTCTTACAACTTTGCCTCTTTAACTTTGTCTCTCACTAAGTAATGGGCTTCTCACGTTGAAGTGTTGAAAACATAACTTTTTCATTTTTTTTAGAAATAAAATACGGTATGTTAATTGGAGTGTTTAATAATGTAATGATAAAGTTTCATAACCAATGGCGCCAAGTAAGTTTAGAATGAGCGCTTAAGTAAAATTGTTTTTGAATGTGTGTTTGTATATGTCATTAACAATTAATAGTTTTCTATTCATAAAGAAGTTTATTAGGCCCAAGTAGCTTGCCATTATAGTGATTCAAAATGAACCAGGCCCATTTAGTGTTTATTAATGCTATAGATATGATGTCTCAAATTCCTAAAATATAAGCTAATGTATTATGCACATTATATACTGTGGCATTTAAATTTTACTACTTGACTGCAGTGTGAGGGTTAGACATGTGAGACACCCATAATGGGGGTGAAGACTTTGGCGAGCGGGTGGCGATAGTCATATTATAGTGTGTCGGACAGGCGAGCGGCAATGCGAGGTCCGCACCGACAAGTTCGGGACCCCGTGAACGGCTGCCAAAGCCAACGACAAGGGACTGAGGGTTAGACATGTAAGACACCCTCACGGAGGGACTGAGGCTAGTTGATCACAAGGGATCTTCGAGCACCTATCCTCGACATTTGCCCAATCCGAGTCTCCGTCATTCAACGAGTACCCGCACACCCGAAAGGATTCATCGACCAAAATGCCTTAATTAAAGGGTTCAGCAAGTCCTGTTGTCCAACGTTAGCCCTCAAACGCCCTTACGGGGACATCGGGCTCGCTCGAACCCCCCTCCCCACTCCCCCGAGAGGCCCAACGAGTAACATCGTACCACTAGTTGTGTCCATCCTCGTCATTCGACGCACGGCGCACAATGGAAGATATTAAAGAGTTGAGGAAGAAAAAAAATTATCAATTGGGTCACAACTGGCTATTCCACTTAGGATTTTCTCATCAGTAAGGAATCACCTTGTTAGACACAAGGTAATAACCCGGGTTATTACCTTTTATAATCAGTCAGGAATTTGCAGACACATTGGAGGATAATTGAGTTTGATCTTATAGCTGGTATCACCATCTAAAGTGAAAAATTCAGGAAGGTTTCGAGAAAGATTACCTAAGTTGAAGTTCCAAACTCTGCCAGATTGTCTCCCCAGTAGCATTTGAAAGAAGAATAAGATTTCCAATATCTAAAAGCTGAGCTACTATGCACATCAACGTGCATTGATGGCAACAATGAGTGTGAAGGATGTTCCAAACTCTGCTAGATTGTCTCCCCAATAGCATTTGAAAGCAGAATATCTAAAAGCTGTGTGAAGGATGTTCCAAACTCTGCTAGATTGTCTCCCCAATAGCATTTGAAAGCAAAATATCTAAAAGCTGAGCTATTGAATTATTTGCCTGATCATTAGATAAATTTGATGACCAAAAGATATTGTTCTGTTCATCTAGGGCATGAAGATTACTATCCTCGGAAACTTTGAGCACCCCAAAGAAGTATTGCGTAGGGTCCCTATATGAGCTTGGGGTTTCCTTAGGAGTGGGGTCCCTCTATAAGCGTGGGGTTTCCTTGGGCGTTGGCCCCGCCCCTATATAAGCGTGGTGTCCCTCGAGCATGGGGTCCTCCCTAAGGCGTGGGGCTTATTAGTTGGGCGAGGGGTCGGTTGGTTGGGCGTGGGGTTGGTTTGTTGGCGTGGGGTTGGTCTTAGGACGTGGGGTTGGTTCGTTTAGGGTTTCTCCTTGGGCATGGGGTTTCTTCCTTGGGAGTGGGGTTCTTCCTTGGTCGTGGGGTCCCTCTTTAAGCGTGGGTTTTGAGCTTAGGCGTGGGGTTTCAGGATGGGCGTAGGGTTGATACATTAGGCGTGGGGTATCAGGATGGGCGTGGGGTTATTCCTTAGGCGTGGGGTTTGAGTTTAGGTGTGGGGTCCCTCTTAGGCGTGGGGTTCTTCCTTGGGCGTGGGGTCCTCTCTTTAGGCTTGGGGTTTGAGTAACGACGTGGGGTTTCTTCCTAGGGCGTGGGGTATGATATTAGGCGTGGGGTTGGAGTTTGAGCGTGGGGTTTCATCTTGGGCGTGGGGTTTGAGCTTGGGCGTGGATTTTAAGCTTGGGCGTGGGGTTTGACCTTGGGCGTGGAGTTTCTTCATTGGGCGTGGGGTTTCTTTCTAGGGTGTGGGGTTCTTCATTGGGCGTGGGGTTGATATAGTAGGCGTAGGGTTTCTCCCAGGACGTGGGGTTTCATGATGGGCGTGGGGTTCTTCCTTAGGCGTGGGGTTTGAGCTTCAGCGTGGGGTTTCTTCCTATGGCGTGGGGTGAGCTTCGGCGTGGGGTTTGAGTTTTGGGCGTAGGGTTGATACATTAGGCGTGGGGTTTCTCCTAGGGAGTAAGGTTTCATGATGGGCGTGGGGTTCTTCCTTGGGTGTGGGGTTTGAGCATCGACGTGGGGTTTCTCCTAGGGCGTGGGGTTTCATCTTGGGCGTGGGGTTTGACCTTAGGCGTGGGGTTTCTTCATTGGGCGTGGGGTTCTTCATTAGGAGTGGGGTTGATACAGTAGGCGTGGGGTTTGAGTTTTGGGCGTAGGGTTCATACAGTAGACATGAGGTTTCTCCTAGGGCGTGGGGTTCTTCCTTGGGTGTGGGGTTTGAGCTTCGGCGTGGGGTTTCATGATGGGTGAGGGTTTTTTCCTTGGGCGTGGGGTTTGAGCTTCGGCGTGGGGTTTCTCCTAGGGCGTGGGGTTTCTTCCTTGGGCGTGGGCAAGGGGCCGTGTCGCCTGGTTGAAAAGCCAGTGGCGCGAAACTACTGTGTGCTGGATTATGACTGAACGTCTCTAAGTCAAAATCCGGTCCAGAAGCGACGCATGTGCCCACCGCCCGATGCTTTTCTACAGTAGGGGTTTCGGCACGTGTCGTAGGCTAAGCTCGCGCGGTGGATACTGAGATTCAGCCCTATGTCACTTCGATTCGTCCCTCCCCCCACCTTATTCCCTAAAAACACCTATATTTTAGAAAACGAGGTTAGCGATGCATCTCGTATGTTAAAAAAGGCTAAGTACGGGATTAAGAGGTGTCACAAAGCCTAAGTGTTGGGATGTTGGATGGTACAAGTGGGCAAGGGGCCGTGTGGCATGTGCATAAGACATGTGCACCCAAGGACAAGGCATACCGGGTTTCGAGAACTATTTACGACTCCCAAGGCCCTTAAGACATGAAGTTTAAGGATGAATTAGATGGTTTCGGACACTGTTTATGACTCCCAAGGGCCTTTGGGAACCCAGGGAAGTACTTAAATGCATAATCTCGCCGGGTGAAAAAATGATATACGGAAGCCAAATATGAAGGCTATTAAAGGAAGGTTCCACCCACCCAATTGGATTCCCGGAGGGTATAAGGGACCATGGTAAACATTTCGGCAATTTTTAATTATGGGTGAAGAAAAAATTAAAAAAAATCCCAAAATTTAAGGCTAATATCTACGCTTTCGGTGAAATTTTAGAGGTTTCGGAGCCCGGTCTCGAAAAGCCATTAGATTTTAGGGGATATATCTCAGAGACATATAATGCCGTTTGGAACCATACATGATCATTACATGTTGTCATAAATGTTCATATTAGGCTTGAATTAATTAAAATGGTGCAAGACTGCAAGTTGTTATTCGGTAAATTGGCTGGTTAAAGGCAAATAGGATGGTTTCACCCACCCAATTGGTCTCCCAGAGGGTATGAGGGATTATGGTAAACATTTTGGCAATTTTTATTTCCCGGCGAAAAAAAGTTAAAAATTTCCAAAATTGAAGGCTAATATCCATTCTTTTGGAGAATTTTCGGAGTCTTCGGGGCCCGGTGTCGAAAAGTCTTGAAATTCTAGGGAATATATCTCGGGGTCATATAATGTCGTTTGGAACCATATATGATCATTATTTGTTATCATAAATGTTCGTGGTAGGCTTGAATCAATGAAATCGGTATAAGTTGTAAATCGGTAAATTAGTCTTTTTATGGAAAATTGGATGGTTCCACCCACCCAATTAGACTCTCGGAGGGTATTTGGGACCATGGTGAACATTTCGGCAATTTTTATATCCGGGCGAAAAAAAAGTCAAAAAATTCCAAAATGCCGAAAACCATTGAGATTTTAGGGGATACATCACGGGGTCATATAATGCCGTTTGGATCCATATATGATCATTATATGTTGTCATAAATGTTCGTGGTAAGCTTGAATTAATGAAATCGGTGCAAGTTGTAAACCGGTAAATTGGTCATTTAAAGGCAAATTGGATGGTTCCACCTAGCCAATTGGACTTCCGGAGGGTATTAAGGACCATGGTAAACATTTCGACAATTTTTATTTTCAGGTGAAAAAAAGTCAAAAAATTCTAAAATTGAAGGCTAATATCCACGCTTTTTGAGAAATTGAGATTTCGGTTATATACGTAGCCTAAGGTTTAAAAACTAACGTTATACGTTTTCGGTTTTTGGCATCATAGGTTATATGCATCTCAGGGAGACAGAAGATCCCTTGAAATTATATACTCCAAGTAGTTTGAAATTATATAAGCCAAGTAATTGGCCACCCTAGGTCACCTAATGGCCTAAAGTGGCCATGAGAGGCTGTTTGTAAGTTGTAACTAGCTAAAATGATAGTTACCGGGACAAGTGGATGATTCAAACCACCAAATTAGCTTCTCGAGGTATCATGGGCTTCATGGGAAGCACCTCAAACTACTATTTTTCCTAGTTTAAAAAAAGTCAAAATTTTAAAAAAATTAAAGGCAATAATTCACGATTTTGAATCAATTTCGGGAAAATTTTCCAAAATTATACTAAATGTGGAGGGTGTCTCGGTGTCTCCCTAGATCATTAAAGTTGGTTTAGAATCACAAAATGCTTACCAATAGGTTTCTAAACTCTCAAGTATATGAATTTGGATCAATATCATTGATTACTTTAAAATACGCAATATTACTATATAGTAATATTGGGGTTGGGATTAGGGTGGCCGGATTGGTCACTCAACACAACCAACATCATATTTATAGCATCCACAGTGCTGGATTATAATACAATGCTTGCAAGAACTACATGCATTAAACATTACTTCCAAACTGTTACTATAACTTCTACATGTCTATAAGTAGAAAATTTTTATTTATGGGTAACAAACACTGTACATTGGTGTTAATGAGTATACAAACACCAGTGTAGACTGTATTTAAGCCCATGTAGGTAACAGAGGTGAGAGCATCAAACCATCATATTATTTCCCGCCCCACCACCACCGACCGGATGAAGCTGAACAGTTTTGCTCACCACAACCTGAAGTACTCCGGGTTGCTCTGTTAACAGAAAATTTTAAGTCAAAAAACTATTGACAAAAAGTTAAAAAATATCGCTGTTTGAACCTCAAAATTAGTTCTCATTTTTTTGCCAGGTCATAAAAGGCGACTGGTTCTAAGTAGATGCACAAAATTACATCATTCCCATATATATTTAAAGGAAAAGAAAACAGATCATTTTCAAGGCATTCAGCAAGGATATTACAAGAATGGCCAACTCTGAACAAAAATCATGGTTGTGCAAATTTGCACTAAAAAGAGGGGCAAGAACACAAAATAGATTAAAATTAGGACCACAACAGCATATGGATGCTTTATTGAAGTTTGAAGCTCTCAACCATAATATGCAAACTTGATACAGATCAACAGTAGCAGTGAAAACAAAACAGACCTAAATATGTAATTGTTTGGCTTGTCAGAATTGTTATCATAAAGGCCGCATTGTAGCAGCACAAAATTTTTATGAACTATAGCACATAATACACTCTTCCTCACTACCCCAGGTAGATACTTAGGTTGTGTTTGGTATAAATGGAAATGGAATGGGAACAGAATGAGAGAAGGAAAGAGTAATGGCATGATAACCATTACTTATATGGATTGTTTTGTATTAAAAAGGAATAAATTCAAATCAAAGAGGGAGGAGGTTAACATGATGTGTTAAGTAAATGTAAAAGTTGGGTACTAAAGTATGGGAATTGTTGCAGGTTGGGTACCAAACTTTGGGATGTTGCAAATTGGGTAATAAAGTCTGGACTGCCTGAAAGTTTACCTATGAAAACCGGTTACAACTAGTTAACAAATTTAAAGGCAAAATAATTTATCTGCATTGGAAGGTACAACAATGTCAGACAGTTAAAAAAGTGGCCATTACAATGCTTCAAGCCTTCAACCATATAATAAGTTGTTTGTGATCAAAAGCTTTATGATTTTGTTATGCTACTACAGACAATTCTTGAAATTCTTGTTCCTGCGTTTAACTCCAGTAGCAGCAACACAGCAGCAGCAACAACCACTAGAAATGAGATGCATAATATGATAATAATTTCTTAGTTGTCATAGTAGTAAATGGATTATTTGTCATTAGTATGTAAGCTAAGTTTGTTTTTGCATGCATGCAATTTGGCAGGACCACTAGAATTTGACCTTGATGCATCTTTAGAAGGTGTTCTTCCTCAATTGAGATCTTATGAACATTCTTGGACCAAGGTAAAGAGGAAAAAGGAAAACAGATAGTTATGAAGTAAAGACTGAGTTGCCAACTTCTATCTTCAAAACCTAATTCCTCAAAAAAAAAAAAAAAAAAAAAAAAACCTAATATTCTTTTCTGAAAAGTACAAAAACGGGAATGAGTGTTGTATATGCAGAGTACTAGCATAATATTTCTAGATTCACCAGGTGGAACAGGCTTCTCTTACTCAACAACTCAAGAAGGACGGCCGAGCTCAGACACAAAAGCAGCAGATGAAATTTATCAATTTTTGATGTAGGTGGACTTGTAGGCATGATTTTCTTGCCAGATTATCTGTACTTATTATCCTACACTGTCAAAGCTAGAAAATACTGATAATATTTTATATTAAACTGAGATGATGCCACTAGATTTAAGCTGGTAAACATGACTAAAACAAAGAAAGCTTAATTTTCTGAACTCACTGATGCAGTAGGTGGTAGAAAATCCACAATATCTTGATGTTCCATTCTTTGTGGGTGGTGATCGATGGATACTTTGGAATCATTGTTCCACTGATCACACAATTGTCTAGTGGTTGCTGCTACTGGAGTTAAACTCAGGATCAATTGTCCATTTTCTCGCCCTTTTGCTTCTTGGGGAGGTGTGAAGGCACAATGTGTTCCCCAAAATTAATCATCATTACATTTTGGGCAGACTTTTGCATTTAATTTTTTTTCTTTTTGATTCAATTACTTATAATAAACCGTTGCAGCAGGTAAATGGCCGGAAAACGAAGCTCAGGCAGGTAATGGTACCCAATTTGCAACAATTGCCATACTTTAGTACCCAACTTTTATATTTACTCTGATGTGTTACCACCAATTGGGGATAGATGGGTGAAATCAATTTCCCAAAAGGGACAAATTTTCCATACCCTTCAAACTAAACAACCTATAACAGGAATACTTTTCATTCCAGCCCTATAAATCTTCACACCAAACATGCTCTACACTTTATCAAATATAACAAGTCAAAACCATCAATAAAAGCACAAGTAGTATGTCTGTAATCATCCTAATTCTCAAGTACACATCATACCAAATCTATACAATACTGAAAAAAATATGTTAGTTAAAAGGCACGAGTAATATCTGCAGAACTCTATCATCACTAATCACACTATTGATCTAGAAACAAAGCAAAAAAACATACTTTCGAGCTGCGAAACTTGCTCAGGAGTCAGCTTGGCCGAGAATCCAGTAGCTGCGCTCTTGTAAACGTAAATCAAGGATTCCTTGGCTGCTTCTTCACTACAGAAACAAGGGATATGCATTTAAGATCACAAGAAACTCAAAAAGTTCAACAGCAACAGCAAGTAAGAATACATTTGCAGCTAAATTTCCCATTTAATCCACTTTCTTCTGCATAACTTAATAAGACCAGAAGCTTTCACAGCTCGAAAATCATTATGACTCACATTATACTCACTTGTATCTACATTCAAATACAAACCAAACATCTTGAAAACAAATTTGCTGCATCAGATAAAAAGAATAAAAGATTACATTTTTCTAGGAAGCTTAATCGTGGACAGATTAATCGATCATCAAACAGACAACATCCACAAAAATTGCTCAAAAAAACAACTTTTCCCCAATGAATTATCTGAAAAACAATCACCAACAAACTTAATTCTTAAGAAATAATCCAGCAGATACAACCTAATAAATTCTGAAAAAATATTCCACCATTGTACAATTTCCATCATTAGCAAGCACAAATGACAAAACTCATCATTTACAAATCCATTTCATATCGCAATTGCCACACAATTACATGAAAAAGAAACCAAATACCCAAGAATCATCAAATCCATTCAACTTCAATCAAAGAATCAAACCCTAAAAATATGGTATTGCAATCATAACAAGCAAATCCCAATTACAAATCAACAAAAAGAAGTCAAAAAAAGAACAAATTACAGAAATCAATAAAGATTTGAAATAATCAAGAAGAAGTGAAACCTGCCAACAACAGAAGAAAGGGTGCGAAGATGGGAGGATTCATGATCAGCGCCATCAGAAGGCTGTTCAGTGTAAACGATGTAAACATCGGCAGGAGCAGATGATGAAGGTGGAGCAGTTTCAGCCATTGATGATTTTTTCTGGAGATTTGAATTTGTGAATGTTATTAGAAAGAGCAGAATTATGGTGGAAAGATTAATATGCATTTTCATCTTGTATTTATATAGGAAATTAGGATGGAGTTCTTGTGTGTGCGCGTTTCCTATGGTTTCGTGTCAGCACTCATTTATCAAAGAACCGAATTTCTATTTTGATGATGGAATTATTTGTGTTTTTGGATAAACTTAATGAATTGATAACTTAATTAGAAAGTTTATTATCTTTCCTCATACAATGTGCTCACCAGCGGTCTAGTAGAATTTGGACATTTGTTTCAACTTGCTGAATCGAAAAACGTTACAACGTGATTTAAAACCATACACTTAGTTTAAATACGACACAATTAGTTTAGATTATACAAGTATTTGTTTTTGTTGAAAAACAAATTTACTAAAGAATTTAAATTGAAGAGAATAAATTTGAATTGTATTCTAATATTCAGGCATGTGAATTAGGGGTGAGCAAAACTACCCGAAAAATAATCCGTAACCGTTCCGAAAATTAGGGTACCCGATCCGATAACCATAACGGTTTGGGTACCCGTACCGTTAGTACTAACGGTACGGGTTCCCGATAACCAAAATCACTAAAAGTGATACCTATAACCGGAACCGATAAGTTCGCGTACCCGGAATTGTGAATATGTGATGCTATAATAGGATATTATTTGTAACCATGAGACGCTATAAAAATGAAAGGATCATTAAGTTTATGCAACATCTCCAAATAAAAAAGGTGGAAAACTCAATGCCAAATCAGTTGCAGCACTAGCTAAAGAAGTTCCTTGAGCGTATCAATTCATTTACACAAAGTAACAAGTTGAAGCCACATCTCCAATGTTCAAACCATATAACTATCTAGAGCACAAGAAAACTAGAGTGTGACTATTCCTTACCAACTCAGGTTACTACACTATTTCTGACTTACTGGGAGCTATTATACATACATTATAGGATTCGCTAACACCGTTACATCATGTAATACGTAGTATTTAGAAACCTTTGCACAATTATATACACAGTGCAAGCCTTCCAGCGCACCAGAGTAATATATTTATATAGATACAAATAGCTGAACCAAAGGTGGTGCAATGGTAATCATGTCTGCATCTAGTTGAGCTGCGCATATTGGACGCTGTTTTTAGGACACAAGAGTAGCCACAGCCACTAGTTACCAGACAGTATTATGAAGCACTACACACACAAGATGCCGAAATCATGCCGTACTTTCAGTCTGGGATGTTAGTCACTGCCAGTTGAGTTAGTTTGATCATCCTGTACAGTGATACCAGCCCATAACTTGTTCATAGATTGCAACTGGTGGAAATCTTGGGATTTGAGGGACATCTTATAAAGCTCTTTCAATTTCTCAGAATCTCCAAACCTCTTTGATGATGGAGTTGGTGCCTGTGAAGCAACAACCGTTTTGTTTGGACCTGCTGATAGAGAAGAGGCCAACATCTTCTTCAACAGCATCTGCAATTGCCTCCAGAATTTAGCAAAGACATCTGACTTGTCACTAGAGGAGGAATCTGAATGCACTTTTGCTGAGACGTAACGTCCTTCAAGCAGGCAAGTCAAGGCTGTTTCTAGCATCTGTACAATTAACAGATAATTAGCAACGTCAAACTTCACAGTAGAATATAGCCAAGTCAACAAGCATTCAGTAACGACAGCCTTGTGTTACATGTCTAGTAACTACTTGTTACATAAGATATATATACCCTGGATCCGCAGCTTTCTAGAAAACTTAATTCAATACCCATAGGCCATTCTTAACCATCATGTGTATCACTCGATGGAATAATAAAAAAGAACACCTTACCACAGAACTCAGAAAAGGCCCATCCAATCCTCTTTCCCTAGTGGTTTACTAATGAACTCTTATATTCTCACTTCTCTAAATCCATCTCAATAGCCAAAATAAATCCACCCAGATTTTTCCTACAGGCATACACCTTATATGAGGTGTTGGGTAGGGATAAGATCATAATACTATTACATGACCATACCACCAAACAGATACTAATACAATTCCAACTCCAGCTTTTTCATAGTTTGTGGGTGAGGATAACGATAACTGGTGAGATTGGAACTTCTGCCTAAATATGTGAAGAAAAAGATTTGAACATCTTAGCAAGGAAACGTACCACATATGAATTATAAACACTATGGAGATTTGATAATAGAGCTGCTCTCTCAATTAATATGGTTAGATACATGGTAGGATGTCTCTTTGCACTGTAATATTCAACAGCCTTCTGCCAGTTCCTCTCAGCTAAGGAAAGATACTGCTTTACCCTTTGGAGAATGCCATTTTCATTTTTTGATTGATTGCTGCTTCTGTGGCTTAAATTTGAAAACTTCAAGCAACTATCCCTCTGATAACAAGCTAGCTGGAAATAAGCATATGCAGCTTCCTGTTTTCGTACATCACCCAAAGACTCATAAATGGACAACGCTTCCCTAATGGCATCATTGGCTGAAATCTGACTCTTCTTATGTCCTTTCTTTGTCCTTTTTTCACCAAGACCTTGAGACCCCATCGGTTTGTCTTCCAGAGCTCCATTTATATGAACATTGGCTACTGTATCTTCCCTAGCCAATAACATGCCAAGCCTTAAATAAGTATGAGCAAACTGAGTATATACTTCAGTTCTCAGGTTATTTAACAAATCATCTGCCTCGATACTGTTGTTGCTTAGTTCCGACTTTGCAGCTCCATAAAACCTAAGTGACTTCCCATATTCCACTTTAGCAGCTTCCAAGGCTTGCATGTATGCATCACGGAGAATTGATTTTGATTTAAAATACTCCATCTTTGATACCATTTCCTCAGCCAATGCTCGTTTACCATGACCCAAATTACAGTTAATTAATATAATATTGGTATAATCAGAAACTTCTCTAAATGCATCTATCGCCTTAGCAAAAGCAACTTCAGCTTTGGCCAGATTCTTTCTTTCAAGCCTGAGTCTTCCAAGTTCATTGCACACCCATCCTATCTTCTTAAGCACAGACTGCAACTCATGCGAAACATTAGAAAGCTCAACCAAAGACTTACTAGCTGACTCATAACATATTAATGCCGATGAAAGAATGCTATCCGTATCAGTACTTCCAGGACCTTGCAGATACTTAAATATACCACCACTTCTGAATTTTGGGGATTCTTCAGATGATGTTTCAATTGAACTGTCAAAAGAAGAGTAAGCATCAGCATTATCTGATGCATCCCCAGTGCGTTCCATGGTAACAGAACCTATAGTTTCTTCCACATGGTCATCATCCCTGCTGACATTTGTAGTCATGTTATTCTCATCTAAAGTTGAATCACTATCCCTTTCATCAACCGTCCCTACAGAATTTCTTCCCATATCTACTTTACAATGGGGACGGTGATTTTCTGGGTTTGCAGAGAGAGAGGTGCCTGTATTTCTCAAATGCGATCTCCTACTCTGTCTTTTGCTATGAACAAATGGGGCAGTGTCTCCATTGCTGCTACTGGCACTTATGCCACTGCTCGCCCTATCATTCTGACAGCTGCAGTTTACAAGGGAACATGTGCTGCAATTCTCTAAATCCTGACCCAGCTTCTTTTTAAGCCTAATGAGTTCCTTTACAACTTCGGATGACATTTTTAATTCCTGAGAAGAATTTGTTTGAGCTGAAGGTGGAGAGGTCTCTTTGCCTTGTAAAGTGAGAAAATCAACATAAATATCCCCAACTAACATCCAGGCCTTGGCCCAAAAGAGGTAAGTTGAAGAGAAATCCGCAGGATTAATACTGTCATCATAAGAGCTCATGCATGGTCGCCTTTCATCTCTGACTATTGGTCTTTGCACCTCTCTATTGCTGGGTCTATTCTGCCAGACTGGACCATTACCCATAGAGGAAATAAATTTCGCATCTTGAAGATATTGAGGCACTGACCCATAAACAGAACATGCAACTTCAACTACTTTTAATGTTTGCAGCAATTGTCCATTCTCCCGGTAGGCTTGTCCCAAAGACAAATAAGATTCTCCAAGCAAAAGAATTAATTTCCACAGCTTGTGGTCCAGCTTTGATGTTGGGAGCCACTCCCGAATGTCACAAACTTCAATGCAGTCCGTGTCCCCACAAGCACAAACAGAAAAATTTTCAGGAACAGGTGGGGGCCGAGTTGTTTCATCGTTAACAAACTCTGATTCAGCGCCTTGCAGTTGCCGTGTCCATCTCAGTGACTTGATAGCTTGAGAAACATGATGTACAGCAGCAAGCTTTGAGGAAATCGGATCAGCAATAGTCCGAATTACATCTGCAGGAGTTGAGGTCACAGTGTGCAAGTTGTAGCCTTCACTAGCTCTATGATCCTGCAGAAACCCAGAGCTCTTGGCATCCACAAGATCAGATGCACTGAAGCCATTAGATTCCGAAATATTTATATCCTGAATATCACTTCCAGAAGCCTCAGAAACTGTATCCTGAGAGTTATTATGCTCACTATTCGATGACTCCTGGACACTAGATTCTGATATAATACTAACAATATCCAAGGACTCTTCTTCTTGATCAGTGACAGTCACCTCCGCTGCGAGGGGGAAAACTTCGGCAGCTAAGTCAATCTCTTCATCATTATTCAAGATAAGTCTTGCAAATTGTTCATGTGCAAATGCACGGACAACCTATCAAGAACAAATCATAACTAGCTAAGTAAATATAATTTTTTTGAATTAAGAACAATGAAAAGCAACAATCAGCCTTTTTTTTTCTTTTTTTTTTTTTTCTCTTTTTTTTCTCACAGAACAGCAGCAAAAGGATGTGAATTTTACCAGATGGTCAGGTTCATCCAACAGCTCCAAACATTTTCGGACAAACCGAGCACACCTGAACCTACTTTCGGGAGCCTGAAATGAGAAGTCAACACAGAAACCCACCCAAAGTCATATGAGCAATGGAAAGTGGAAGTATGAAATAGAAACAAGAAAAACAGAGTGATGTAGTGTCCTAGAGTTACCATGGAAAGAGACAGCCTATGAGCGGTACGGTAAAGGAGAGTTCCAAGCGACAATAAAGAGTCAGATCTTCCTCTCTGGATCAACGATGGCAAAGAGCTCGAGCAACCATCATCAGTATCAGGTGGATGGTTTTGGGGAATGACAGAGAGATCAAAAAGTTGAATCACATCTTCTCCAGCATTTTTATATAGCTGAGACAAAATAAGTTAGAATGCAAGAATTAGATAAGAAATACTATAATTATTAAGTAATTTAACAAAGCAAACCAAAGAGGGAGTGAAGCCAGTCAAAAGAAAGGTGACATGGTACCCAGTAAGCACCAGGATCTTGCTTGCAATTTGCCTGGAGAAATCTCAAAACTGAGAGTCCATTTTGCTGAACAACATATGGATGAAATGCTGGTGTGCCATCTTCAGACATGCCCTTCAGAAGAAATATGTCATCCGTTTTCAAAAGTTCGTAACCTTTAACTACACCATTTCTATGATAACAGATGGCTACCTCTGGAACACTTGCCATGATATTATCCAACCAAGCTTCAAGCCATGTTAATGGCGTGACCTGAAAATTGAGTGAAAACACAGAGATAGTAAGAAGTATGACATGAGCATAATGCGGAAGAGAGAAACAAACAGTGTGATACACACCTGTCTAGAAACATCCCATAGATGCAAGCTCACAGATACATACTTATCATTACTAAATAGGAGCAAATCACTGCCAAGCAGAACACGGAAGTTGTGAAATTGCCAAAACAGGACTCTCAAAAACTCATCATTACTACATCTATACTTTTCGGATTCCTGCACTGGGCCTCTGGGTTTCTCACCAATACGGGTAGCCTTTTTTATGGGATCACGTGCCTTGTTTCTGTTCTTCTTACTTTCCCAATACAATCCATCTTGTTTGGCTTTAGAATAATCAGAATGTCCATCAGTGCCTTCATTATCAGAAATGTTAGGAGTCAAAAATTCAGAAGATTTGAAGGAGGTACTCGTAGGATCAAATGGGTCTGGGAGAACAGAAGATTTAGATTGTCCTTCTGCGGCGGTGGAATGAGTGGGTGGGCAATCACAAGCCTCCATTCGAACTGAATGCTTTGCGAAATTGAGAAAGAGTGATTCATCTGAGCATTTTGGCTGATTTCTCCTTACGAATCTTTCTCCCTCTTCCACATCAGGCCTGATAAAGATAAAACTAATGAAATCACCGAAACATACTACCAAAAAACCATCATGAGTACACAAAGCAGAGAAAAACAAACTGACCCTGCATTCAGGATAAGAGTTTGCCCAACGCGGTGTACTGCGATTGATAGCCGAGCCTTAGTGTATGGAATCTTAAAAATCTGCTTCAGGATGTCTGCAGGAGCAATGACATCTATCTCATCACCATACTCCACCAAACCAGATACAGCAAGGGCCTCACCCTTCCTAGCTAAGTTAGATGTAACAGCTCCATCATCCCAGGATACACCTGCTAAAGTATTAATCATTAAACTAATTAATCATTAGCATGAAAACTCTATCCATAATGAAAACATTTTCCTAAGAAGCATCATATTAACTTAGAACAGCAATATTGACATATGACCACCAGAATTACCTTCGTTCCTTACTGTTCTTCGCACTCGATTTTTAACACAATTCACTAATTACACTTTGACTACTGTTTGTAATTTATATGCTAAGTTTTAAAAGGCGCAAGGCGTACCAAGGCGCAAGTGGTCCTTGCAGCCTAGGCGCGAGGCGAAGGCGCATGTATTTACATATTTATTTCAAATTATTTTTTACTTTGATTGTACTAAATACCAATTAAAAAGATTCATAATAAATTAAATAATAATATATCTTATATCTTAGTTATTTTCCTTGAGGCGCAAAGGCGCACCTTACCAAAGGCGCTTTGAGGCGCATGAGGCGCGCGCCTTCCGTAGGTGACTGAGCCTCGCCTAGCTAAAGCCCATTTCCTAGAGCCTGGGAGTGAGGCGCGCCTAGGCATGCCCGAGGTGCGCTTTTTAAAACCATATGGAAAATCATATTCATGTGGAGTCTTTGTAAATTCGTCTGAAACTCTGAATGTGTACTTTCGGCACATCAACTTATTATAATTTTCACAAATACATAATTAGAAAAATTAATGGTTTTGGAAAGCGTGAAAATTACTAAAATACTAAACACATTAAGGAATGAAGGTAGTAGCATTTTTTAAGGTCTGCATCTAAAGCATGGGATAGAAACATGCAGCAAGGTTATGGAAAAATGCTCAATGTGAGGTATAGAACATCAAGACAGGACACAATGTTCACTTAGAAACGAATCATCAACATTCAGCATCTAAAACAATGCAATAAACATATTCTATTCAGTATGAGTTTGAGGAAACATGGCTGCTCTCCGGAACATTGATACAGCATATCCCACTATCTTATGCACTAGTATATCTCATCTCCAACCTCAAACAATGGATATCTTTATTCTCTTTATATCACCAAACCACATTCCAAATTTAGCAACATGGTTTTCAGAACGTAAGATAGCTTCCTTAGCAAGCAGCTTCTTAGTTTTTTCAGCAGTTTCTCTCAATTTCATACTACCTCTGTTTCTTTTTAGTTAACACGTATTCCTTTTTAGGAAGTTTGTGTTTAGTTGACACGTTTCCTTTTGGGGTATCTTTTTTACCTTGCATTTACAAGCTACCCCACTTGCTTTTTCATTCTCTCTCACTCACTCTCCTCTCCTTAATATATGTGCCTAAATCAAACGCGTCAACTAAATAGAAACGGAGGAAGTATGTGATGGACATGGAGGAGGAAAAACAGATGTTGCAGTGAGTACCTAATATATGAACCAACTGTCACCCGCAACTCACCCAAAACCCAACATGAATTAAAAACATTAACCAGTGATCAACAAGGCTCATACGTTACACACTCTATTTACCATGTATGTACTTACTCACCTATCAAAATCCTAGAAATGCCCTAGATATATTTTCATCTAACCCAATGGTAACCTTCCCTCATACTAAACCGACATTAATACTTTGGAATTTACTCTCCAATAAATACGTCACAGGAGTATATTTCATATAGGATGAAGATCACCTAGGAAAAACAGGTGATAAATAATCTCGACCAATTAACAAAACATAATTTCTTCTCCAATACATTCCAAAAACTCACTAGTTTTATGAACACAATCTTTTATTTGTTTTTTTGGAATTATAATATTTGTTCCATATTCACAATCAGGAAATATCATCACCTAGTCATCTACCCCGTGGGTAACCTACGCAAATGGAACCGACATAAATACTTAACGGAATTCAATTCATCAATATACAGTTCATTTCTTTTATGCAAGAACACTTTATCAGTACAATTTCACATTACATTATATCATTTCCCGAACATTCCAAAATAGTATTCAGTATAACTATTACCTCCAAACAACAATAGAACTGAGATATCTACAGCTTAAAGTACTAATAACATCCATTAATTTACAAACACAAAAATCACAACAATTAATACTATAGCAGTATATAAAGTATACTAAAAATAGAAGTAATAATAATCTAACCTTCAGTAGGAGGGGAAGTTCGCGTATTAGGAGCACTGGTAGTCGTCAATGGCGGATTATTAAGATCAGTTTCTGTCGGAAGCATTCGATATCTCGGTGCACTCACCCTAATTCAATTTCAACAACAAAAATCAACAAAACAATTCAAAAAATTAATCAAAACCAGAAAAAAATTAACTGAAATAGGAGAGAGAAAATGGTTACGTTGAAGAAGAAGGAACGAGGTCAGAGCTGAAAGAGTGGAAGGAATTATCAGTAGGAACAGGAATTGAACCACACAGAAATCCAACTGGTTTTTTAGGGCTCGCAATTTCCAATTTTCCGATGCATTGCATCTCTCTTGAGCTTGAATTGCTTAATTTCTCCATTGATTTCAGCTTCAAATGATTATGATTGCTTCATCCAACATTTAAAAATTGGTGTTTCTGGGTTTTCTGGAATTTTCTCAGTGTTGATTGTTGAATACTTGATTTTCATAAATTGCTAATTTCGGGGTTTTGGGTTGAAGAAACTTGCAAGAGAAGATATTTGGGCTTTCAGGATATGGACTGAATTCGTATATTAGTGATCTATAATTACTTTTTATTTAGCCCAATTTATGCTTAGGAAGTAAGCCCAATACTTAAACATTAAACATTTCAACCTCATACAACACTAATACACTGATTTTACGAGTACTGCTTCCGTTCTTTAAAGATAATTCATTGGATTTTATGACATTGTCAATAAATATATTATATATATTTGGCTATTTGCTACGTAAATTAATAAATGCGTATATAATTATGTAAATAAGGTTTCTTATACGGAGTACAAGTATTTTCATAACATCAACTATGAACTTGGATTGTAATAAGCGGAAACTTAAGTGTCAAGTATATTATGCCGTCTTTAGGAGCATCAAGGATTACATTTGAAGTCAATTACATGTCAATTCATATAGGCTTATGAGATTAAATGGTTTGTAGGTGGTATACTCGTATGGCCTTAGATGGGTTAGTATGATGGTCAACACAAAGCCAATGTTATCTACTGTATTTCATCTTTTTAAATACGTAATAGAAAGGTTATTCATAAAGGTTATCAATTCTAAAACTCATATTTGACTAATTGTTTTGATATATCATATTATAACATACTACATACTCTATATGTCCAAGGAATTTTGAGATCACATACTACACATTTGTTTGTATAAATCAATCTATAACTGTGTTTTTTCCAAATCAAATTTCAAGAACCAAAATAGTTTTTAACTTATTGATGTGTTCAAAGTTTATTTCACCTGTTTTGTATAATTAGTTGTTTACATTATTATGACTTTTCAATTATGTGAAAAGTCATCATCTTAATTTCTCAAATGGTGTAGATAATTTCACTTTAATGATGTGAAACTTGAAAAATTATGCTAACAAAAAGTAGAAAAAGAGTCAAGCAAATGCCCACTTTCAAAGTGAAATATAATCCTCTTTATTACCATTAATAAATACTAGTATAAATACCGTATATATACATTTAACAAACTTGGGGAAAAAAATACAACTCCAATTATGAAGGAGGGGTTCAGTTATGCCTCTTTGCTAAAAATCTTTACAAATTGCATTTCAAAATAAAAGGGGGAAAACTGGAATTTGTTAGCTTCCTAGTACACCATGCAGCTTCCCACAAGGCTAGCTGTTCCACAACTCGATCAGACCATCATCATAAACACGAAAGCTCGAACCATAATCATCTCGGGATTGAAAGATGATTATGGATCGGATCATATATATGTACTCTCGCTGTAAGAATTTAGTTGTTACGTACCCATGCATGTCAACGTGATAATTAATTCCGGACAGAGGGAGTAATAGTAACTTACTAATAACGTGGTTATTATAAAAAAAAAACGTTCAAACCTTCATACGCCTTAATGCAATGTAAGCCAATAACCTGAACCCAACAAACATGATCAACATCACTCCTACACTTGCTAGGGGACTGATCTGCCCTACAATGTCTTCTTCGATGAACTTGCAACTAGCCACGTTCATCGAATGATGGCTCGAGCAACCAAAGAAGCGCGAAATTCTTTCTCCCCCATTATATTGCACATCGATCAGTAGACGATAGCAATAAAATGTAAGTGAAGCATACTTAATCCAACTCAAACAGCTTGGCAATTTATGCACATAGAATCCTCCGGTCAAAACACAAGCCAACATAATGATTGTAACAATCGTAGAAGCTCGTTTGGCATCCATTATAATCGCGCCTAGAGCAAGCCCAAGGCCTTGTGCAACGAGCACGTACCCTATAATAACACCCAAGGACTGTAGGAATGTCCAAAGTTCAGGCCTTAAGCCGGTCATCCAATACACCAATGTAAGAAAAATTGATGGTAGAATTAGCTCCAAGGGAAGATCACCTATGATTCGAGCCATGAAGTAAGAAGACAAGGAATACATTCCAGATGCACGCTCCTTAACAAAGATAGACCGGTCTTGAGGGAACGCGAACACAGCATTAAAAGAAGGAAACACACCCCAAAAAATCGAGATGAAGTAGAGCAAACCTAACCTATCTTGTACATCTCGATAGTCTGATTTCCACCACATCATCCCTGCTAGAAGTGCTGCCGCGATTACCTGAGATACTCTAAGGGAGTTAAAAGACTCGTGCCTTCGCTCTTTAAGGCTCCTTTGGAGAAGGATGCTAAACTGGCTGAACCATGAGAAAATGCCGTTTTTTATGTATTGCTTCGCGCTTCTTCTACTAACAACAACTGTGTTTTTTGGCAAAGTGTTCTTGTTATTGCTTGTGTTGTCTAAGCAGGCTGTTTTTACTCTAGGAGCTAACACAGTGTTGTATGCTGTAACAAGTGCTTGCTTTGTGTTTGCCTTATTACTCTCGTTCACTCCATCTGGTTGATGAGAAATGCCTGCATACAAATCGATTTCATGAACGTCATTACACAATCCAAGTGCTTAATAATCACGTAGGAATAACATAACATGTTCATTTTCTAACAAGATGTATACGACGAACAATAAGCATGTATACAACTCGTAACACTAATTATGTTCACGACTAAACATAACTCGTAACTCTCTAATAGTACAATTATTAGTAGGTCCAACATACAATTATCAATACGTAACTTAAAATACTATGATCAAATTACAATCACATTAAAGTATAGTGGTAATAGAATAGTGCAAGTATTAAAACTTAAAAGAGTATATAAAATTAAGATTAGTGATGAGATAGTGTCACTACCTAAAGAGGAAGCAATAAGAAAGGTAAGAATAAAAGGAGGCCAATGTTGGTGGAGTATGGTGGGACTCCATTAAAGCTTTAGGTGCTCACTCATCAATTTAACCAAAAATAAAAGCTCTTTTGTTTACGTTATTGAATGCGTAAGCACCCTCTAAGTAGCCTCACACGTGTCCATACTTTCTAATAAATATTCCATACTTTTATTGATAACATTAAATCAACCTAAAATAAAGGTGTAGGAAAAAGGAAAGGGAGTAACATGGTAAGTTTGATAAAAATAAAGTTTGATAAGATGTTTATCCGGATATAATCTGACCCTGTATAAACATATCCGTTAATATGAATGATCAAGGTATGGTGGAACTGAGATGACTATTAAAAAATACTAATTTTAACAATGTGACAATTTATTCTAGTTGACTTGATTGTTTATATTAATTAAATGTGCACAAAGTATGGTAAAGTGTATTATGCTCATGATATTGAAACTATCATACAATATGTGTTAATTGGATGATGCTACATGATTTATAGTATAAAGTATATACAAATTAAAGTTCCAAGATCCGCTTAGGAAAGTATTACTATCATGGAGCGTTATTTACTCTATAATTGTGCTTGGAAATGACATGATATATTTATTAAAGATGCTTAGCAGCAAAGTGGTGAAAGTATAAAAAAAATAAAAAATAAAATATAAAAATTGTCAAAGAGATGAAGAACCCTACCCACGTGAGGATCACACTTTATCTCTGCTTTTATTTTGATGGAGAAATATATTATTGGAGAACAACTATCAAAATTAACATGTTTGTTATATATGATAGCTTATCTACATACTATTAACGCATTATTGTTATATACACCATAGACTAGTATGAGAAGTGAGAAAATGATTCTAAAATGTCTAAGCACATACTTAAACACATTAAAGGCTAACATGCACAATATTCTATGTTTATTATTATTATTATTATTATTATTATTATTATTATTGTTGAAACATTTGTTTGAAATTAATTTTAAACTCACTATTGAAAAATTGAAATGTTGAATAGTTGAAAACAAAACAAGAAAAGAACAAACAAATTATGTACAGTCTTAAGAAAACGATTGATAATAAATTAGTACATTGAACTAACTATATATTCGAGAAATGATTTTATTGAGAAAATTTTGAACCAATAGTACCAACAATATCTAGCATAATTTTGAAAATATAATCCAATATTCAAAATACCTATAAAAAAAAAACAAGAATATTGGAGGCTTATTGCACAAGCAAGATTCGCACCTCTAACATTGAAGAACTAGTGGTAAATTCCTATTTTTTAAAAAAAAAATATTTTTCACACATTTAGCTTATCCAATAGAAAAAAGGGGTCAAAAATCATTTGGTACTTTCCATTAATATTATGGATATGCTAATATGCTATCATACGTACTTGATGTCGTCACATATCATCAAATACTCCAACTTGATACTTGTCTTCATAATGGTGTCTAAGAACGTAACAGTTTGCAAAAAGACTATGTATTGTAGTGAATCATTGCAAATATTAGCTATGACCTCAACCATCCATTAAACTAGACTATGTATGGTATTATGCCTAGTCAAAAGTGCATTAATATTAAAGCATTTTTTGTTTTATATGTCGCTTAGACTTTGATTATAGGATTTAAATCGTATATATTAGTGATACTACTACTAATTACGTAAAAGATTTTCTGTAAAGCAGTTATATATATATGTTAGTTGCGAAACCAGCTAATTTTATTCAAATTAGACTTTTTTAACACAGAGATTTTGCTTAGACATATTCGCTATTTCATTTTCACTTCTTATATATAGAGTTTTAGAAGTTCAACTATGTAATCTAAAACTTACGGGCGTTAATTGTGAAATAGAATAACATCCAAGTTGATTAAGCTGCCCACTAGTACTAAGTATTAAGGAAGACCACGTTGAAAGTTTAGTCTGTTAATCAGTAGTTATCAACAAATCTATGATATATAATTATATGTTATCACATCATTCTTACTTTGAACTATGCAATATACGAAACTTTATATTTATGGAAAAAGATTTATCAATTTTTTGCTTTTCTAGGCGGACTAGGGTAGGAAGACACCATCAATTCATCAAAGGTGAACAATATCTTTAAAAAAGATAATGGGATATCGTAATGTAAAGAAGCTTAAAAGACACAAAAGTTATGAAAATATAATTTTATGAAATATCATTCA